CTAAGTCCATGTTGTATCAGAATGTTGTCGCTACGTTGTCGATGTCAAGAGTGTCAACATTCTCTCAATGTTGATAGCTAATGTTGCAATGACATTCGTAGAAGTGTCGCAGCAACATTCCAAGTGAAAACATTGAAGCAATGTTTTCTCAATGTTGTACAGCAACTTGCAACATAGAGCAACATAGGCAACATTTCAGAAACGTTTCATCAACATGCTGTGTTACTTGGGATATTAGTGTTCGCATTCAGACATATGGCATATAGACTTTGTTTGGTTCAGTTGCAATTTGGTTTTAGTTTCAGTTCAGACTTTGGACATACTCACTACTCTCGAAACGAAATCCTGAAACGTATCTGCAACGTATATGTAATGTATACGTAATGTATACGTAATGTAATAACGTACATGTAATGCAATTTTAGTATACGCAGAGTGCGTATACTTAAAAAAAAAGAGAAGAGAGAAGTAACTGTAAATTTGAAGAGAAGTAACTGCACTTGAATCTTTCGGATACTTGAGAACATAATTTGCATGTAATACTTATGTAGTTGAACCAAAAATATTACGGAATGATGACGCTGAAGTATATGACGCGTCACAAAATGCGTGGGACATGGGAAGATTCACTTTTCAAGTTCAATGTTGAAACTGGAGACCATGGCTACAAATACAGCTGAGACTCTGAACAACGTTCTGAACAAGTTTAGAATCACTGCATATCGACAGACGGCGTTAGCTCGAACATTGAATTTAAAACGTGAATACCCCTATATGCGGTGACTTTTGGGACACCCTGTACACGGCCAAAGCAACGGTGCTGATGAATTTTATTTCAACCACATGAAGATTTTGCCGTAAAGTGATAGAGAGCAGACCTCTTCGTCCTCGGAGAGGGGAAGCGGGTGGTTCACCACGGAGACGGAGAAGGACCAATTGAAAAGGGTCTTGAAGATGGCGTTCTCCAGCCCAGACAGCGTCAGCGGGGGCGAGTGCAGGGGCCTCCCGTTGAACAGCGCCACGATGACGGTCTGGTTCACGAACGTCGACCCCATCACGTACCTCAGGTTGTAGGAGTACACATCCTCCTTCCCCTGCCGCGCCGCAATGATTTTTCAAAATTAAATATGAATCAGGGCCATCGCGCATCACCGCCGAGTGTACGGATATTTCCTCAACTCGTCAAAGGGAAATTCCATTCTAATGTACAACTCGGATAGGCACGAGTTCAGACATAAATCTCTAAAGTGGGATTTTCTTTTAGCAGTATCATCAGCAAAATACAGGGTGACACGCAATAGCTACCCATTGAAGACGACTAATTTCACTTCAGGAAAAAAATAAGCCTTTTGTTTCAGGAAAGTAAATTTCAATTTGAGTTTTCGACATATCTTCTAAATTTAGGATGTCCAGTAGCTTTTCAACACCAAAACCTAAGGGTTAAGAACTAGAAAGTGTCTCGAAGAGGGTAGAGCAGTCATTCCCGTCGTTCATCGTACCGATGAGGTACTGGGAAACCAGATGAGGTACTGAGAAATCATGCAGAAGTTTAGCTTGAGACTTGCAAAATTTCAAGAACATTTTATCAAGCTAAAAATTTAGTGCACCTTCCAGAAATAGAGTTTTTCTCAGCAAAGTTTTACCAGAGGTCTCCATAGGGGAGGGGGGGGGGACTAAAAATCATGTTTCACCCATGGAAATACGAACACGTGAAATCGAATTCCAGAGGGTTTATTTGTATCCACACCCACCTTTTCGATGAGGAACTCCTCCACGGTCTCGTCGACAGGCACGTACACCTCCTCCCCAAGGTCAGCACTCAGATAATTCACATAAGTGTCGAAGACGTCCTCGAGGAAAGGCGACACGTCCTCCTCGCGCCCAGCCGTCACTTGCGGGTTTCGGTACGGCTGCGTGCACGCAAAAACCATAGTAACTTTATTTTGGGATCCGAGTTTCGTAGCGGACCTTTCAACGCCGACTTTTAATTTTATTCTTGAACTCGATTTGGAAAAGGAAAGCCAAATTTAATTTCGAAACGGATTGGCAGCAACCTGTCACACGAGTCGTCAGCCAACCTCCGTTTTATTCAAAGAAATCCTTTCAATTTTTTTTTATTGCCTAAATTATTCATATACATTACCTTTCTGGAGTAGGAGAAAAAGGACTCACTTTGAGTGAAATGAGAAGAGAAGGGGAGTCCTGGACACCCGGTAACGTCTTGGCCACGACGAGGGCGATCACCAGGAAGAACATCGGTGTCAGTATCTACGGTTGAAAGAATGCAGAACATTTACAGCTTCGTTTCCTAGTGCAATTCTTGTCTTACGTCAAAACTGCACAAGTTCAAAATTAAATTCAAACCGTCGCAACTGATGTATCCCAAAACAACCTCGGAGTCTCGGAATTTGATAGAAAAATCTAATATTTCACCTTCATTAATTTTTAGCGTCGCTATTGCTGAATTGCAGGCAATTTTTGCTGTTTGTCTTTGTCATTTCTGTAATGACTATGCCCTTTTTCCTGTTCACTGGATTTTATTGTTAAAAAATATGCTCTTTTACTCCATTAAATATGGCAAGGTGAATTCGAACTGACTCAAAAATAGGTTTCAGTGACAGCACATTCTGCAAACGTGTCGCTCGACTAAAAAGCTAATTCGCACCTTTTCTTCGATCGAAATGCGACAAAGGCAACTTGAAGCCAATTTTCGCTTCTCTGCGGCACCGAAACCAATGCGCCGGTACTTATTCATTAAAGACTCGGAAGGGATATCATCACCTGGGTGATGCTGAGGGCCTTGTTCCGGAAGAAATTGAGAAACTTCTTCACCAGCATGGCATACATCTGCTGGGCGTAGAGCGTCAGCCTTCCCTCGCTCTCGTTTCTCTCCACTAACGGGAAAATCACTTTCACTCACCACCTCCCATCGACGACTGCACGGAGGGGAAGAGGAGGAACCGACCTTCTAGGATGTGGCTAGTGGAGCCCTGGCTGTCCATTTCGCATTCTATGTTGAGGGTCGTTGCGCTGCCATTCATTGCACCGTTGGTGCCGCGCGTCTTCAGCTTCGCTTTGCGATTCATCAAGGATATCTCATCCTTCGTGTCGCTCGATTCTCCGACCCTAATTCCACATCACTAATATTAGCATCGGCAATGTCTTTTTGCCACTTCCACCGGATTCATTACACACGCCTTGATTCGACACGATCATTTCCAGGGCATTTCCGTCCAAAGGAAAAATATGACTTGTGTTTTCTGCTTTTTTATTATTTATCAAAATCGGTTTTCAAAGGATTCCTTGGGATATGCATAAAGGGCACGAGAGGCACCTCCCTTGTTTCGACTATGGCCAACTCCTAGGAATTTTTCTAGGTAAGAAGACAATTATCATTATTATATTTGGCAGAGATGCTTGACGTTCTCCTTCTCCTGGCCTCTTTAATGAGCCATAATCTTTCACAAAGAAGGGGCGAAGAAGAATTCTTCCTCAGGGCAATCGTAAAGCGAAGGATTCTTCGCCAGCAAACTTTGCATAAGTACTTCATGTCTCCATTTCGAACTGTGACACCCAATATGGCCTGCATGTTGTGTTACTTGAAGGTGAAACCACGCATTTCACTGTCAGTGGCGTAGCCAGGAGGGGGGGGGGGGGGAAGGTGGGATCCCCCAACTCTGGCCCCCTCCTCCCATTCCGGTGGAGAAGAGGAAAAGGTACTAGAACCCTCTCTGTTACTCTTGGCCTCACTTTGGCGAAACTCTTGTTTATGATTCGGCGAGAAGGGTCACATTAACAAGTGCTATCCAGTTATGGGAAGAACATTTCCCCTATTCCCCGGAATGAGAAAGTAAATCATTCTCAACTGCTACTTCACGAATCGGACTCGAAATTACTCCATATGAACTGACATCTGCCATCCCTCAAACCAACAGAAGGAAAAAAAGAATCCATACCGAATTTCTTCTTGAGGAAGATGGATGACCCGACGCACTTGAGATCCCCCTCCGACATGATGGCGATCCGGTCCCCGAGGAGGTCCGCCTCGTCCATGAAGTGCGTCGTGAGCAACATCGTCCTCCCTCGCCTCTCTTTCTGCAGAATCCGCACACAAGTCATTTGAATTCAACTCGGCCGAATGCGAAACTCCAGCCTCGATCCCAACCGTATGGAAGGCCAATCACTGACCACTCCCCTTGGCTGATTGGATCGAGTCATTCCATAAGGATCGGATCGAAGTTGGCTTTCCGATTTCGGACGTTCCACCTGGTGCGGATTTAGAGGCTAACTAGACAAGAATTTGTACCGATCCCCGAGAAAAATATTATTTCGTTTTTACCCTTCCCTAATTGGTTGCTTTGGAACTTCATTGGACTTCGTCGGACGAATAAAAATAAATATGTTTATTGTGGGAAGAAAGTTGCCTTGGTGGATTCAGGGGATTTCGACTCACCTGGAGCAGATCCCACGTGGCTCTCCTCGCCGACGGATCCATCCCCGAGGTGGGCTCGTCCAGCATCACGACCTGGGATCGAAAGATCGTCGTTTTCAACGGGAGACACGAGGGAAAGTGGTAGGTGGCGCGCTTTTGGGACTGGGATCTTTCGTCTATTGGGAGTTTTTATGGATTTATTAGACCGTTCGATGCGCACTCCTTTGGCTGTTGGGATTCTCGTTTCGAACGGTACCATCCTGTTTTTCCTTGCCTAATCTTTATCCTAATCCTAATCCAGAATGGGTTCGACGGAAATCGGCACCCATTCCGTAACTCCGTCCCCTCCTCAGATCATCTGAAAAACGAAGGCTACCCCTGGCTCCCCACACGGATGCCGCGCTCATTGCGAACACCTATTCGACATCGATCACTCACACCCTGGCATGGCGTAAAGAATCGCGGCCTCAAGAGAAGCTGGATTTCAGGAGTACGTCAAGACTGCCAGCAGAGAGAATTTCATGCTTTCGTTCGCAAAAGAATTCTGGCTCGAATCCAATCCGTTTTAAGTTTTTTTTTTCTCTTGCGTTACGGTCGAGCCATTGAAGAAAAACAAGGCCCCATTCCCAGTCTGAGGGAAAAAAAAGTCTAAACCAACGTGGTATCAAGTAAAGACGCACAGCTACGTTCAAAATGATTTTCCCATGTTCCCAACACACGGAAAATCAAATCAGAAACACTCGTAAACGTGGCTATCGGGTTGGAAACCTAGAAACGATCTCGTGACACTGCATATCTTCAACAATTACTCTGAATTTCATCTTCGTGTTCCTTCACGTGATCCTCCATACCGTCTGTGGTAAATACCGTCTGATAGAATGGTAACGTTTCCAACACTGAAAGAAAAGGACGTTCACCTTGGAGTGGGCGCAGAGTGCGATCCCGACCGAGAGCTTCCTCTTCATTCCTCCCGAGAGTGTCCGGGACTCCATGCGTCGCTTGTCTTCCAGGCCGACGGCCCGGATCATCTTGTCGACCTCGCCTGGAACTTCGTCATTCGGCAGTCCCTTCAGCTGCAGAGAACAGGAATCCCTCCATCTTAATCCATTAAATCTAAAAGTATTTATGGAAGTTGAAATAGGATATGAAATTTATGTGGCAAGTAAGAAAATAAATTCATAAGAAATAATAATATGCCAATTTCGTGATATTAATGAGAAAAATAATAAGCATCAAAAGATAATACTGAATCGAATTATGTACTTTAAAAATGTGTAACAGAAAATTAATATAATTCATGAATGAGATTCTATAATAAAAAAAAAGACAAAGTGAAATCTCTGGATATTTCGGCGATATGCTTCGTAGAAGCAGGGAGCGAGATGCACCTTGCAAAAGAAAATGAGATGTTCCTCGACGGTGAGTTCGTCGAAGAGGACGTCGTGTTGGGGGCAGAGTCCCAGGGACTTCCTCACGCCTCCGATGTCAGTTCGGATGTCGTGGTTGCTCACCAGGGCGGTCCCGCTCGTGGGTGGATACAGGCCTGCGATAGGAAGTCCAAGTACTTTTCTCTCTCTCTCTCTCCCTCTCTCTCCATTTCTCTACTTCTCGCTCTACTTACCGGTGAGCATGGACATGGTGGTTGTTTTTCCGGCTCCGTTGTGACCCAGCAAGACCGTGATCTGGCCTTCGTACATGTTCAGGTTCATGCCGTTCACCGCCAACTTCTCCCCCTTGTAGATCTGCAAGAAAACAAGATGGAACATCATCGACTGCAGTGTTGTAACATGAATGACGAAACTGAATGGTACATCGAATGAAATCAGTGTTGATTGCGCGTTCAGAAGATGACCATCAGGAATTGAGGCTATTTCTAGCTATTTCTGTGAGTTTATTTGTGGCTGGCTGGAATTTCTTGTTTGGAAAAAAAAAGAGATCCGAAGATCCAGAGGTGTGGATGGTTTATTGCATCATTTTACACTTATCCAGTCACAAGGACTTTTGACTCTTTATCAACACTTTTCGAGATAGCGTGGGCTGGGCAGAACATTTTTCCGCTCTCTAATACAGTGTTTCCCAAACTGTGTGCCGCGGCACACTGGTGTGCCACCAGTAAGGCTTAGGTGTGCCGTCAGATTTGAGAGTTTACAAAAAAAATCTAAAAAAAAACTAAAATTTTAAAAACTTAAAAGCAAGAGGGAACGCCATATCTCAGTGGAAAACGAACGAGTTGCACTATCACGGCTCGTATCAAACTGCTGGGTTGTATCGCAACTAGAGGGGCCACATCTTAACGACCTGGGCTTAGCCGAGCTTATCGTCTCGAGGAGACAGGATTAGCTGGGATTAGCGCTGCGCCTTATCTCTGTGACACCAAATCAATGTCGTGTGTTTCCTGTACTAATACTTCCTCATAAACCAACTGAACCTCAAACGAGACACCAAAACTCACAGTAACCTTCGAGCCTGCCATTCTTTCAAACTGGACGGATAAGGTTCCGCTCCTCTTTTAGTTTTAAACGTTTCTGGCGGTTTGATATCATATTTGGACAATTACTTCCGCGAGACTCCAGATTACTGTAATCTATTGGACTCGAGTAAGAGTTTCAAAGGGACCACTCAGTTTCTTGATTATTCCTGCAACATGGTTTGCTAGACAATTTTATGAGAATTAAGCCATGTGACTCAGAGAAGGAGTGCTGTTGAAAATTCCAAGATTGGCCAGAGACGCTGACGTATAGGTATCACACTTTTTTAAATTCTTTGTTCTATTTTCTTGGCATGCAAAAATATAAAATTTACACGTGGTATGAATTTTAATTATGAATATTATGCTAACCTTGGAAAGATCCATGATGCGGATGCCAGGTTTGAGATGCTCCGGGTCCTCCTCGAAGAGGTCGGGCCTCGCCCTCGGGGCACTCGTCGCTTCCGCCGTGCTCTTCTGCCTGCTTCCCAGCCAGTAACTCTTCTGCAGCAGATTTAGAACTTATTGACTTTCTGATTTCAGAGAAAATATATGCGTTCGGTCGAAGCTTTGGATTTAAATCGGAGGGGATTTTCCGCATTCCAAATATTATTTTTTATCGTATCATCTTCTATAGTCATTCCCATCACTCATCAAATAGCACTTGAGGATGAAGCTCGGAGATCGACCTGGAATTAAATTTAGGACAAACAAAATGCATATTCATGATATAGAAAACGGAGCACGAACCTGGAAAGGGAAGTACCGTTTCTGCGGTACCCCATAGGAACCTGGAAAGACGGCGTCCAAGTACCAAGCGATCACGAGATAGAGGACGATGTCCACGAGGAACATGAGCATGATGTGGCCGAACGACAAGTCGTCGTCTGGCGACACTGGTTCCCATAGAGTCTCCCAGCGTACCCCTTTCCCTATGGAGGAAGTTCCCGATAAGCTTTGATCCGCATGACCGCTAATACCACCGCTAATACCATAATGATACTCGTGGAGCTCCGGTGAGAAAGGAAGTGTTTACTATAGGGTCTCTGTTTACTATTTCCTTTGCGAACGGGCAGTGTTATCAGGAGTGCTCAGCATTTGCAAAGAGGTCCTTCGCGAATCTCGATTCCCTTTCTACCCTATCCACGCAAGACGTCGAGAAACCCGAGCAGACTGAGAGATCCTGTGAGATTTCTCCTTCCCTCAGAGGAATCGAAAACTCGGGGTACACCCAGTCTCCGCATGTTCCTGGTTTGGGAAACTGGAATTTCCCGCATTTCTGGTATGCAATTTTGCCGATCCGACCCACAGTCAACCTTCTATGTATGTAACAATTACCTCAAGCCATTAGATCAATTAGAGTGGACTCACGGCCCTCATCACTGGATCGACGCGGAATTGCGGTCAGCTTCTTCGACAGCGTGCTCAGAGAGTCTTGATGCAGTTATTACTTCGTACTTCGACTGAAATCATTCCACCTGAGTTCGGTTTCGATCATTCAATTTATTTTGTGATAATGCACCAACTACATCATATCTTATTTCTGCGTACTTAATTCACCCGATAAAAACGTGAATGGGAAATCAGTCAGATTGCCTAACACAGGGAAGATGATTGTTGCTCGGACTTTAAAGGCATGGGATAGCAAGGTTTACAAAATAAAAAAGAAATTTATTACAATAAATAAATAAATTTACTCATTATTTATGGAAGCCTTTGTACTTCACCCCGCATTGATAATAATAAAAAACACCGTTGAACCTGGTTGCACACCGGACATACACGGGCCAAAAACACATTGAGAACGACGTGAAAATAAAAAGTGCCAATTGATTTCCTGGAAGAAAACAAATGTTTCCCTCGGCGATTAACAGGAAATGGTGCCCCATCGCGCAGTCAGAGGTCATGGGGTCATGAATATTATTATTTGACCTTCGGATTTCGATCGTTGGGGTGTGGAGAGGCTTGTGTCTACGAGGACAAATTCCACGTTCTACCACAGTTCAAGAATAAAATCTGCGTTGCAGTAAAAGTCAAAACCCCAAACGATACTCTCGGCACCTGTTGCAGACGCCTTGCCTAGGACGATTACCCTGGTGGAAGGCGGGGGGGGGGGGGGGGGGGGGGGGGGAATACATAGAAGGTTGACTGTGGGTCGGATCGGCAAAATTGCATACCAGAAATGCGGGAAATTCCAGTTTCCCAAACCAGGAACATGCGGAGACTGGGGGGGGGGGGGCATATGTCGAACAGCTGAGGCCGCTCTACGAAATGATGAAAGAAAGTCCCAAATCACAGACAATGCGGACGCAATCAGGTGACTTCGTCCGCATCATCCGTGGCATGTTTCCCTGAAGTTATAGCTGTGCTCTATGCCACCCTAATTTTGAATCACCCCGAATAAGGAGTATTCCAGATAAACGGATCGATAGAATTTCGATCGGGACGTTGGGCCTCTCCAGACGACCGTCAAACCGCTCATACCCAGTCGAGGTGAATCCGATAGGACTCGAAAGAAAGAAAACACACCAGCGCCTTCGGAGAGTCCGATGATTTTCCCAGCGAAGGCCATGGCCATGTTGACGAAGATGGACGTGCTTAATTTCATGTCGAGACTCAGCTGCTCGTATCGGGGGTCGAGGAAGGTGAACGGGATGTAGGTGAGGAACCACAGGAGACCGCTCCATGTCGACGCCGAATTCGCTGTCGCAGGAGAAAAGTCCGCACATTTTTTATATTGTCGTGTTCTATATTCACTATTTTCATCGATGTTCTGATTTTGGCCTGGTCTTAAGATAGGCTTTCAGTAGTAAGCATGTTCCTTATAGCTGAGCATTGAGTCTTTCCAAAATATCTTGAGAAGAGAGAAGCGTTTACACACTCAGCAAACAATTTTGAAACACGTAACATCGGTTCGAATCCATTTGAAAATGATCATAATAAAAAATCTGAACTTCCTCCATACCTTTAGAGAAAATTGTGGATACGAGGAAGGCGAAGGCGATCGTGGCAAGGGCATAGGTGACGAGGAAGCAAAAGACGAGGAATGGATCGGATTTGTCCAGAACGGCCAGCTTCGTCCCATCCGGCGCCTTGCAAGCCCTTCGATAGCCATTTAAAAAAAGGGCATGAACGTCTGTAATGTAGGATGATATTCGCTCGGTGCCCAAAAATACCAAGGCGGGATATAGTGCGAGAAAACTATTGTTTCGCGGATAGGGTAGGATAGATAACCCATAGGGATTGATGGCGATATTTTGCAAAGCGGCAAATATTTTGAGAAAATCGTGCTTTTTTTTTTTAAACCCGAAGAATCCGTTTTCGTTTAACCCTCATCCAGCTTGTCTCGGTAAAATCCGACAAAAAAACCTCGGATGACATCACGGCAGGAATCCTTTTCACGGCACATCGTGCGAGGTTCGCATTTTGCACAGGCACGACCCGAAAGCAAAGTGAGACGTTCTCCCGGTTTCAAACGAGTGCCTCGAAACACAGAGAAAAAAATGTGCGAGAGCCGCTGCAACGGATTCCGAATCTCCGGTGTGGTGCATAAATACCGAAGAGGGAATTTCCCTTTTAGCAGTCCGTGGAAATAATGGAAGCCAATGTTGCGAAAGTTGCCAATGTTGCCTTTTGAGTCTGGCTTCGGCCTAGCATTCACGTTCCGCCATACATTTCCTATTCATGGCCCCCACCCCGACACCGTATCGTATTTAATTCGATGTTTTATTGAAGGACGTAGGGCAAAAGACCCAGTGATGGGCCTGTTAAGGGCGGGTACTCAGTGATGGGCCACGTCGCAGGAAAATTCCAAAAACTAAGTATTTGTTCCATAACCACCTCTGAAGTGTGTGTGTGCTCGAATGCTGCTAGCCTATGTCACAACAGGGGTAGGCGAGCTATGGAAGCTATTGGAATTTTATATGTGAGCTATTGGAATTTTTATGTGCTGTGGCCCATCACTGGGGACCGGTCCATCACCTTTTTTACCTGTCAAACTTCCGCAGTGAAAGCTGCTTCTCGATCGTCCCCATTTTCACCGATGTTCTCAAGTGTCATTTGGAAAAGTTCTGTCATTTTGCTCTTTACGTCGATGCAAAAAAACCTTTCCAGGGAGACGCCTTCGAATGAAATATTTTGTGAAGACCTTGCGTTCATCGGTAAGATCAGTCGCGCAATAAACTTGGGTGAGACGCAGCCTGGAAGGTGGAATACGAGGAAATCGGAGCGAATCGGGTTTCGAGTGGGAATCCCACCCATAACAACAACGACATTTTTTCGGAGATCGGGAAAAGTGCAAAACACGGCATGAAAAAAAAAACTCAATTGTTACGAAGAAGAAACTTCTTAATGGGAGGAACTCGGAGTATTGGAGAAACAACGCAACGGTACGTGATAAAAAAAAATTGTATGACGCACTGTTTCCACCTCCGATTAAATTTCCCAGTGCTACGTTCCAAACATTCTAAGAACGTTCTAAACGTTTGGAACGTTCTAAACAGAGTGGGTGGCTCGTGACTCACTTGACTACGAGGATGATGGTCATCAAGATGACGGCGATGAGGAGGAAGAGGAAGGATTTCGCGAACCAGGCCAGCCAGTGCTGCCAGTTGGGGAGACCCATCATCTTCATTGATTCCTGGAAACCGATTAATATGAATACGAAAAACTGAATGGGGATTAATTATGACGATCCAATGTACTAGTAATTGATGTGTACTTGATAATTTGTTTGATAAATGAAGATATCATTTGAAAAATGCATTTCTGTACAAAATTATTCCTCGCAAAAGCATTAAAAATATATATTTGAAGATAAAATACTGATGGAATAAACTGGGGCACATGCGCGTTACCTTGAGCCGTTTCTCCTTCTCGTGGGTGATGCTCTTGCTGATGTTGGCGGCCGGGTAGATGAAGGAGAGCATGAGGACGAGGGGGAGCCAGCCGCCGACGGCGAAAATGAACGCGTCTTTTACGTAGGGGGGGTAGGGCATTCGCTGGAGGAAGACTTGCAGGTCGTCCTCCGACGGCCACTCCGAGCCGTTCAGACCGACCGAGTGCCAGAAATTCGCGATTTGCTTGAAGATGGTGTGCTGGAGCAGGAGGAATCCTTCCTCGTAGTAGCCTGGAAGGGAAATTATGCATTTCACCCAAAACGGCATTGTGAAAAAAAAAATTCACTGAGTACGTATGCTGCAAACTTGAATAAATATAAACTTTTTGAAAATCAAAAACTAAATAAATTATCTGCTATCATAATTACCATCATCTAAGATGATGAACATGCACGATGAAAAAAACTCTGCTAAAAAAAGTGAGATAAGAACCTGGTTTTCCTCCGTAAGGATCTGCGAAGGACCTTGGTCCCGGCCTTGGAAAAACGGGATAAAGGCCGTCCGTCAACCACGTGGGAATCGGATCCAAGGGACTCCTCATCTCGTACGGGACGGCTCGGAATCTCAGCGAGACCTGATGCAAAGGGAAGGGAGACGTCGGTGGATGCGCGGGGAGGCAGACGCGAGGGGAGACAGGGAGGGAAATTGCCTGGATCTGGGTCTGGTTGGAGAGGGAGGCGACGTTGAAGACGACGCCGGCTCGGAAGGATCCCTGGATATGTTCAGGGAAAAGGTCTCGATTCCGGGACAAACCGTGGAACAGATCGCACTTTCCATCCCCAAATACCTTCCCCTTGGAGTCTCGAGACGAGGAAGACTTGCCTGGACGAGTGTTTTCCACCAACGCAGTCACCATGGCTGCTTCCGTCGGGTAGCCTGCAGATTTTCATCCGGACATTTGCTTTCTTCTGCGCCTTTGAAATTTTAATTTTGCCAAATTTAGAAAATTTTTTGGAAAAGTCTCACCTGCTGTTGTAACATTCAGTGTCGACCCCACTTTCCCCATGAGTTCAATGATTTCGCTTGTGTTTGGCGTAAAAGCCACGAGGCACCGCTTGAATCCGAAAGATGCCTCATTCTTACATCTGTTCCATCAGCAATAACAATAATAATTAGGGCTGTCAATTCGATTAGATTAATCTGATTAATCGATTAAAGTATTAATCGCGATTAAAAAAAATAGTCGAAATTGATCGAATTTTAATTGACTCCCTAATCTCCCCCTGAATGCCTCTTTTTCCCCTTATAATTTTACTGTGTAGTTCATAGTTTTGCAAAACAACCGACAACGAATGCTTTATCATGGGAATGAAATGTAATGATGGCTTATAGACGGTAGTCGTTTTCGCACTGCTCACTCTTCCTCAAAAACGACTTACTATTTTTGGAAAAAGGGAACACAAATCAAAGCCATCGCTTTTCGACTATTCCAAAAAGAAGTTTCCTGACCCTTCGCATCCACAAGCATACTGGTACGCATACCGTGTCCTTCTGCCTAACCTACGGGCTTTAAATGCATAGCCCTGCAGGCCTCGCGCGTCAGGCTAAGGTAACAGCGGCCTAGGGCATAGCGACCGTAAAGTCACTGGATGCGAATGGGGGAAAGAAAGTCGTAATGAAGCTGCAAGGGTAAGCACAGAAGGAAGAGGGGGTTTTAGCAGGGACATGAGACAGGAGAGACGGGATAGAGGATCGTGTAAAGACTGGGGAGTGAGAGGCGCACCTTTAAGTGCACCTACGAAGGCCTGTGGGAGTCCCCCGGAAAGTAACCCAGAGAGGAGGAGAGCTGAGGGAGAAATGGAAAGGGAAGTGTGAAACCCTCTCCTTTTCCTTGTTTGCTCCTATTTTTGCTCTTCCTTCCTGTGTTGCCCGAAAATCGTTAATGAATCTTTAAGTCTCTGCTAATGAAATGTTACTGTATACGTCCAATCATTTAGGTTACATTTTCGCATCCTTCTGTTATGGATTGGCTAAATGGCAAAGGGCCTCAGTGCACTTCTTTCCTTACGTTTCCTGATTTATCTAAATTGTAACTATTTTCTTTCCCATCAGAATGTGTCACGTGTAGGATGAACTAGTATTATGTATGGATAGTAACTACTATGTTAGCGACTGCATCGCCTTGAGCCACTTCCTGAGGCTCATCTAGGAGTTGGGCATGACATGCAGAATCATTACCAACGTCTAGGACATGATTCAAGGAGGAACTAAGGGATCGATTAAAATCTGATTAATCGACCGATTAATCGATTAAATGGCTCACGATTAATCGATCAAATTTTTTAGTCGATTGACAGCCCTAATAATAATTATTATCATCATCATGATACAATAAACATGCTTCGTGTAGAGACACCCTCGATAATGAACAAATAATGGAAGATTTAGCTCATATTCAACGCACAATTCTCGACGTAACTTTCCTTACTTCGAATTTTTTTTAATATGAACGTTGTTACATTTTGATGTCTGAGCAACTGTGAGAAAATGTCGAGAGCAGAATTTTCATTACTTTCTCCTATGGATCGGAAATAACCTAATGTAGTTCTGATCTTTAAAAAGGGCGATGAGAGCAATCCGAGGAAGGAAGATGGTAGAAAGTGCTGAAAACGAATTTTGCGAAGTCCTACATCCCTCAACTCTCGTTCTGCAGCTCAAGAAAATGGGCGAATTCCTGCCGCTTGATAAATTTAGAAATTGGATGTTCACTTTTTTGTCAGATCGAGGACGATTTGCCCTGGGATTCCTCGATCTCGCTCATTGGGAATTCAACGCCGTTTACTTGGCCTTTTTCATGATAGATGAAAAGAAAACCCGAAAGCGTTTCGAAACTTTGTTTGAGCTTCTAATCTCGAGATTAGAAGATAAGTAGGAGAAGAATGCAGAGATCAAGGGAAATTGATCAACTGGATGAGCAACAGGTCCCAGAAAAATTAACGGAACGGCAAACTTCTGACTTCAGTATTTGAGTATGGCAGAAAGCCCAATCATCAGCATTGAAGATCAGCAAATTCTTAGACGGCACAAAATCGCGCGGGATGATTTGCAGCCAAGGAAAAGTTGCCCGAATCGGCGAAACTAACGATGGGTCTTTGAATGCGTTTTGCTCGGGAAAGCATCGAAAAGGCGGTGGAAATGCGAAGGCAATTGTGAAGGCAATTGTGAAGGAAATTGTGAATTGTGATTCTCTCAGCAGCCGAGGAAAACTGGATCTTTCACCCCGTGCGACATTCGATTGCCAACGGGAGTTTGCTTTTTCTTCTGCTGTTTACTGGGTTCATTTAGAGCATTGCGTTTAAATTTGGAGGTCTGCAAATATAGGCGATAAAATGACGATAAGGAGGGTGCATGGACGATGAGGGTGGGATCGGGATTTTCACAATTAACGCATTCACTTGAAAGTCGGGAATCTCTTCCACGCAATCTTCATCAAGGGTTTTGACAACGTGGATTGCAGACTTTTCAATTTGGCAAAAGCAGCACAAGAAGGAACCTGCTCAAGTTACCCTTGGGCGGTTAGCTTCTAAAAGAGCTTACACGTTGGATGAGAATAAAAGAAGAGCAATTTCGCTGTAAGTGCTACTGTATAGAATAACTCACTCCGACCAACATTGTTATTACTATACTTAAGATGCGGAAGCGGTTGGAGCTTAACTTCATTTTGGGATATTAAAATAGGCAGAAATGCCAAAAAACTTTGCCAGTCGAAGTTTCCCTTTGCAGTCGTTAGATTGCACCTTGTATTCTTTTTTTCAGTCTACAAGCTAGCAATATTTATCGCAGTCATTGCGATAAGCTTCGTTATCCCAAGCAGGATGCATTCCGGATGTTTCATATCTGAACTGTTTCATTTTCGATGTCCTTGGGTATGGTCGAACCCCAAAAGCCACCGGTGGGTATGTTAGGGGAGCCGGGAAACTCACGTGAAGTTAAGATCTTCGAGCGAATTTACTTCGACGGGGAACGCGGGGAATATCGTGGGCTCCGTGACGACGTCCAGCTTGACGACGACGCGGATGACGAGGAGGAGACACGTGAAGAGCAGGGGTAGGGTGATCTCCACGACCGTTTGGATCTTGTGCCGCTTCTGGATTACGTAATTCTTCCAGACCAGGAGGATGAACTTCTTCCACGCGGAGCTGTCGTGGTCTTGGAAGTCCGTCACCTTCGCCTCCTGTTCCATCTTCAACTCTAGAGGGAGACACGAGAATATACTGTAGAGGCTGGGTTTACTCTTGTCGGCTCTGAACTGCTTGGGGATGTCATAGACTTTTATTCAATTTAGTGGAGGGTCTGAATCACCTCGACCTTCTTTGGCTTTAATGGGTCGATTGTTTGCACATATGACCTATGAATGATGCAATGTGCTCTGGAGCTATTTTGAGGACGAAATTGTCCTCCGTTACGCGCTGTCGTTTTACTGGATCGATCTAATTTCGCCCTTGAGACTGTCAAATGAAGGCAACACTGACGAGGAGCAACTTCCATGGCTCTACTGACAAGAAGTTTAAAGGAAGTTGGAAGAGTGATACTCATCACATTTCTACCCAGACGACTCCAGTTCCGTAAGGGCACGAAGAATGACGAAGGACTCAGAAAAGAGGATATGGTGTACTCACTCTCACAAGACTCTTAGAAGGGAAGAGACGCGTCTTGGTAGATACACCCCAGATGGCTGAGCCTCCTCGACTGAACACACGCGCGTGCGCGTTCGAGGTACTCATCGCTCGTATCTCTTGTGCGCCCGACTGACAACACTCTGATTGTGCAGAGTGTTTCATCCTTGATATGCGATGCTCGCACGCCCTTTGATTCGGTAACTCTGTTTTTTTTGGAATTTGGAAACTTTTAGGACGCGATTTTTCGGGATCCTTTCTCCTGGATGTACTCCCTGTACTACGCCATTATCTCTCTCGAGTCCTTTCCATGATTGCAATGGAGGCGCCTTTCGCGCTTAAATCCTTTTGTGTCCGAACAGGAACACCTAGTCCGTGCCACTCGATTCCATATGGCTTTGCCGCCTGCGTCGAGGTCTGAGATTTCGCATCATTGGAAATTTCGCATCACTGCTTCCTTCGAATGGGCTGGAAACTCCAGGTCGGATGTGATCGCTTTTCGGGTGGGAGACGGAGTGGACAGCAGCGGATGAAAACGACGATCGGGCGTTTTGAGCTTCCATCATCGAATGTCGACTCTGGTTGACCGGTCCTGTCGACTCTCGTCACTCCTCACGACTTGGTGAGCCTATGAAAAGTAGGTGATCAGTGTGGAGACGTCAGGTGTTGACCCGACAACTCACCAGAGTGGGGGAAAAAGCGTGGAAAGTATGACATGCTAAGACTTATATTTATTTTCATCGAATCAGGTGGAAGATCACCCGTTTTCTGGTTTGCCTAAATTCTCTCTGTGCCAGGTTCTTACTTCAGAGCAGTGGTCGGCAGGATTTTTGGTAGTGGCGGGCAGGATCGTCACGGTACAGTCAGGCCGCAGAGCGATAACTAAGAAGTGTTGAGGCGTTCTGATACGGGGAGTTAAAGCGCTCTCAGAGGTGACAAAAGAAAAATATAAAGAATATATTTTGCAGTTCTGTTTATTTGAACTGAAATATGTATACAATACACACACTTTAATCATAGAATCAGGTACAATACGTAAAACTTAATACTACCACAGCGTGTGATTCTTATATTTCTCAGGCGTAACACAGGGAACTTTTGTTATTTGAGACCAACATCCCAGAAGAGCACAGAACACTGAAACTATTTCCTCTCCCTTCCAACGACAAATGAGACTGCTGTGAGGAAGAAGTAAATTTGTCCAGGTTTCCTGGATTCATTGGAGAACAATTTAGCCCCGCCCGGTCGGGGAATCTTTCCCTTTAGACGAATGAAATGAGCGATTCCGATGAATTCCTTTGCGTCAATGGTGGGAGTGGGCTGCCTTGATTGGTTGAGTTGCATGAAAATGCCTGCCTCTCCGTGCGGGCCATTGAATGCAAAATACGGTGATCGTCGAATGAATTCACGTCTCTCTCGCTTTGGGTCCCAAAGACTCTCCGTGCTTTTCTATGACGCAATCTGTGGATATTTTAATTGTTAGTACCAACTACGCGGTGTTTATAAAAAGAACTGTGCCAAATCATTTTCGCTAATAATGGCAGTACTTTTCATCAGATGGACGCAATTTTTAAAATACTGCACGTGAATGGAGTAGAGAGGATAATTACCTAATTTCAGGAAAATTGAGGCGTTGTATCACTTTCTCAGCCAGTTAAAACTTGATTGTTAAATATCTGCCGTACAAGCCCGCTGGCGCGTTCGCTTCAGCCAGAGAAAAATTGACAGAAGTTTGCGTGTGCCATACCAACCAGCAAAGAGGCAGAGGCCGGAGCGTTTTCCCTTTGCTGCCTAATTTTATAACGAAATGTTTGGCTAATACCAGGTGTGAATTTCCTTTGAAATGATAAACAATTTCGCTATCAAAATAGGTGAAAAACGAAGAACAAGACCACCTTTGCCTCTCTGATAAGGCACGCACAAACGTTCCTTTGCTTAATTGGCTGGGGCGAACGCGTCAGCGGGCTTGTATGGCTTTTTTGCCTCTCAAGTTTGAATTGGCATAGGACGTGATGCAATGCGTCAATTTTGCTAAAATTTGGTGACTAACTTATTTACTCTGTTCACTTGCAGTATTTAGGAAACATCGCGTATTGAATGTAGATGTCGCCCACGTCGCTTTCTCCTGCATCCATTCCCAGCGGATGGGGAAAGAGCATTCATTCACTCTAAGTTTCAAGTCAAAATCTCGAGTCTTCGTCCCACGAAATAATTTGTATGAACCTGATCGAAGACTCTTTAGGGAGATGATCCCGCACAAACTCATCTAGAGGAAGTTCTGTAGGATAGTTGCAAAAGCTGCGTAAGTATGTCGAAAAGTTGCAATATTCAAAGGTAAAAGTATTGGCGTTGGCACAAGAGCGTTGAGGCAATTGCTATGGCAACGCTCTATGAGCAGCGCTTGATCGTGACAACGGTCCTGCGATCTGGTGGTGGTAAACGATGGTTCGCACGACCGACCCGAGATGACGCCAAAGTAGCCGCTAGAGCGAGTGAATTTCAGATACAGTTACGATCGGTCCTCACGGTACCCGATCTTTCCCCACAGACTCCACGGGGGTAGACATCTGAATTCTTCCAAAAAATTTTCTAATGAGGTAATCCAGCCCAAAGAAGTCTCCTGGAGACTCTGGTTCGAATGATGGAGGGAGGGATGATGGAGGGAGGGATGATGGGGGGAGGGATGATGGAGGGAGGAAGGACGGAGGAATGGAAGGTTCAGGGGAAGGTCATGGGGAAAACCCGCAAAATTAACCCTTAACAGCAAAAATCAACTTTAAGAGCGGAGTCAAGTGCGTAAGTAAATCCTTAGGTAGGAAATGGATTCGGGCGTGATGGAATTCTCAACCCATAACAGTTACTCCGAAACAGGAATATCCCCAAGGGCGTTCATGTGCCATGAACCTGGTAGTGGTACTTCGGTACCTCGGTAACACCTTAAAAGGAATTTTCCTGGAGCGTTCCGGTGCTACTTGGGTACCATTAATTCGATTTTACCAATGAATGTTGGAATAACGTTCGGCCAACGCCCCCGGGGGCTTCGAGCGCCTCTAGTAGGGACATTTAAACGTCATGCCAACGTTTGTTGCAACGGTGGAACAGCGTTAGAAGTGTTGCAAGCGAACGTTGGAATTGCGTTCCTCCGACGCTCTCGTGTTCGCTGGGTCGGTGCTGCTCTGCAAAGAAATTTTTGGAATACATTTAACTAGGGATTTCAACTTAGCAATAATAGTTACATGTGACCGTTCCATTCGTCATCTTTCTTCTCTCCTGGAAACTTTTGTTTATTCGAGTAAACGCCAGATGGCAGGATTGCAGCTCCATCACTTCATTATCAATTCTTTTACCCAGAACTCTTGACCTCGTACACCGATTGGTCATATTTTGCGGGTGTAATGGCACCCATGAATGGCACCCATGACGTCAGAAGCCGTGATGAACAAACTCTATCTCTCATTGCAAATTTGAGTTTCTCGCGGAAGCGGTAAGTCGGAGAAAGTTTAGACCCCATGATACGAATAAATCCTCAGATGCAAAGGAATCGGTGTGAACATTTTCAGCGCTTTATGTTCAGCGGTTAGGGTGCCAGAGCGCTAACAGACACACACACACACGTGACGAAGTGCAATTGTGATTGCAAATTCACAAAGAGAATTGAAAGTGAAATTTTCTGTGAAATTTCAGTGCGTATTTGGTGCTCTTTCGCAGGTATTATGGGTTGAACATACGTTTTGGGTTACATTTACCATGAGTACTTAAAAGTACTTGCGCATTGGGGTTCTCGTGCATCCGCGAAAAAAAAGTTTATTATTTTCTTTTCGATGGAATCAATGGAGTTCCAGTGCGGAAAAGGACCAAAAATCTGTGATAAAGAATAAATTGAATTTTTACACAATCTTAATTCTGTTCAAAGTGAACAAGTGACTAAAAAAAAAAAATTATTCCCATACTATCCCGCCAAGTTTCAACTGAACGTGAACTGAAATTAGTTTCTAAGTTAAGCCCCTGGAATTTTTTTTTTGACAAGCGTCGTTTCCATAAAAAAAAATTGTCTTAATTTTTTTTTCATCATATGGGCCCTTAATTCCAGCAAATTTGAAGCTCCATCTCTCCGGAGTTGTGGAGAGCACGGAATCTCGCTTTCGGAAGGTGTGAAATTCATTCCGTTTTTTTTTTCTCCTCCCCGGGTAGATTTTCGGAGGAGAGAAACCAACCATAAGAAAGATATTGACTCGTAGATGACGAAAAGTGGCATTTTTTTGTTGTTTGTGATGCACCATTTCGCCATTTAAAAAAATAAACGAAGTTAGTTGTCGTTCAATTAGGCTTAGAGAGCTCGCTCCGTGTACCGCCCCCCAGTGTTGTCGGATACCGTGCCGAAATTACTCAAGACTCAAGGTTACTTCAACCTTCGTATCAGCGTCTGGATCTTCTGCTTTTTAGTGAATGATACATTTTCGCGCTGAGTTCACGAATTGAGCTGAGAATGAAGCGGTGCTTTGCAGTGATTGATCAATGCGGTGGGATATGGAGATATCTCATCCGACATCACTGAATTAACAGGGTGGCGCGCATCATGGTTATCACGCTTCCAAAAGGCATTCCCTCCCCAGGCCTATTTGAGATGGTTCGAGGAACTCCAGATAGGCCTAACGTTCCACGTCCCCCCTGAAATGGTTCATGAAACGCGAACAAGTCTCTAATCCAGTGGTACCCAACTTTTCCGGCTAGGGGGCCACATAGCTCACTCCCGCAGCCATCGCGGGCCAGTCATTAGTATTGTAGGAGACTATTTTAAGGAAACCTAAGGGTATTTATTGTGGGTTAGGGCTTCGCGGGCCACTTGTAAGCACCTCGCGGGCCACTTTTTGCCCGCGGGCCGCGGGTTGGGCACCACTGCTCTAATCGGTCTAACGCTACACGCCCTCAACGAGATGCCTTGAAGTCCACGGATTCACCCTTAAAGGCCTAATTGCCCCGTAAGTTGAGAATTGAGTTTCTTTTATAAGAAAAAGGTAGGCCTTGGCGTGGCCTGAAGGCAGTCTGTTGAATAGGCCTAGGCTTAAAGTTAGTGAGTCCCGTAGAAAAGGGAGGGGGGTTTGAAGCAAGGGAAAGCCATTGAAAATAAGTTTCACATTACTTCATGTGCATGAGAAGTGCAAGGACATCTTTTCAAGATGTCCTTGTGGATATTTCAGTGAAAATGGAAGTAGACCTAGGACCGCCCCCTGATTCTGACCCAGAAAGCAGCGGAAGAATGATTCAACTCGAACCGACCGAGCAAATTCGGAATTTCGCACAGCAATAAACTCCATTTTATCTGCCCGTGTGGGAAGATCCGGGCAATAACCCAATAGATCTTATCTCCAGATCCGTGAGAGGCGGGTGAACAAACAGGCCTAGGTGACAAAAATGCTCGGAATTCTGAACCTGTAAGCTAATTCTGAGGAAGACCGTTCAGGCCAACCAAAAACTAAAATTCAATTCTCACCTGAGTGCCACAAGCAACGATATCGGCTCAAGGTATAAAAATCGGATGGTTCAAAATTCAGTAACGTCGAAAAACCGAATGCATGCAGGAGAGAGGAGGAGATCTCGCACCTGATTCCGTGGAAACAAACAAAAGTAGACTTGTCACGACAAATTGTTTTCGCTCTTTCCCATAGGAAGCTCAAAACACTCGATCGTCGCTTTCGTCCGCTGCTGTCCACTCCGCCCTGAATAGCAATTCGATCTGACCGGAACTTTCCCGCCCATTCGAAGGAAGCAGTGATGCGAGATTTCCAGTGATGCGGAATCTCACACCTCGACGCAGGTGTTCCGGCAGAACTGGGAATCGCAGCAAGGTGCCTCCAGTGCAATCATGGAATGAACTCGGACGAGATAAGGAAGGAAAAACAACGAGGGAAAGTGCATCAGATAAAAAAAAACTCTCAAGGAATTTCAGTGCATCCGGCTGAAAGGTTTCCAAAACATCGAGTCGTAAAAATGTCAGAATTCCAAAAACTGAATTTTCGAATCAAAGAAGGACGTGGAAGGATCGCATAGCAATGGGTGCAACAGACACGCATTGGCACAACCAACACATTCAAGGTAGGTGATACGAATTCCGACAGTGCTATAAAGTCCGCCCTCCACGTTACATAATTCAATGTAATATGGAATCCGATTACTATTTATCAATCAAATTACACAAATGTCCGATCTCAACATGTGAATGGAAAGTGTGTGCATTTTCCTCTCGGATGACATGAGTCCCAACAAAATGATGAATCTCAAAATGTAGGTGAGGAAATGGATTTTGTGCCAATGGGCCTCGGGATACGTATAATCTACCCGAGTCTGACTCACACCGAAAGATATTGAATCAAGTGCCTCACGCGGGCGTGCGTTCCGGCGAGGATGCCTAATCGCTCTCAGTCGAGGATGCCCAGCCACCTGCGGTGCTTCTGTCCCGACGCGTCTCTTCCACTTCTAAGGCTCCTGTGAGAGTGAGTCCAAAACTTAGTCTTTTCTGAGTTCATAGTCATTCTTCCTGCGGTTACGTAACTGGAATCGCCCAGGTATAAATGTGACGATGAGAATCAGGTTTGTTCAAACGTCTTGCCGGTACAGCCAAGAAGTTGCTCTTCGTTAGCGAATACCTTGGTTTGACAGTCTCAAGGGCGAAATTAGATCGATCCAGGATAACGACAGTGCGTAACGGAGGACAATTTCGTCCTCAAATAGCTCTAGAGCACATTGCATCATTCATAAGCCAGTGTGTAAACGATCGACCCAATAGAGTCGAGAAGGTCGAGGAGACTCGAACCCCATCTCGATTGAATAAAGATTCATGATACCAGTTCAGTGCCGACGAGAGTCAACGCAGCCTTCATGTGTTCGTGTCTCCCTCTAGAGTTAAGGATGAAACGGAAGACGGAGGTGACGGACTTCCACGACCGCGACAGCTCCGCGTGGAAGAAGTTCATCCTCCTGGTCTGGAAGAATTACATAATCCAGAAGCGGCACAATATCCAAACGATCGTGGAGATCACCCTACCCCTGCTCTTCACGTGTCTCCTCCTCGTCATCCGCGTCGTCATCAAGCTGGACGTCGTCACGGAGCCCACGATATTCCCCGCGTTCCCCGTCGAAATCGATTCGCTCGAAGATCTTAACTTCACGTGAGTTTCCCGGCTCCCTTATGTAACGCGCGCGGTGGGGTGCACTACACTTATCGTACCTACCGCTGGATTAGGAGTTCGACCGTACCCAAGGACAGGACAATAAAACAGTCCAGATATGACACATCCTGAATTTATCAAACTCTAGACAACGAAGCTTATCATCACAATGGCTGCGATAAACGCTACAAGTCTAAAGAAAAGCAAAAATATTTCATAATACAGAGTGCAATGCAGGGGAATGCAGACTGCAGGGGAAACTACCAACTTCCAAGATTTCGGGGCGTTTCTGCTTATTTTGAAATTCCAAGACGAAGTCGAGCTCCAACCGTTTCCTCGTCTAAAATAAAGTAACATTATTGGTCGGAGTGAGTGAATCTATACAGTAGTATTGATACTTACAGATTTATTTCTCTATTTTTTCTCATCCAGCGTGAAAGCGCTTTCCGAAGCTGAGGGGCAAGTTACTTGAACAGGTTTCCCCTCGTGTTGCTGTTGCCGAGTTTGAAAGTCTTCTCTCACGTTATCTAAGCTCTCGATGTGGAATGTGCGGATGAGATCTTCTCTCAAGGGAATGCGTTAACTTCTGTATATCACCCATATCATTTCGGCTGCTCGTCCTTGTACCCTCCCTATTCCCATTAAATCGCCTATATTTGCAGACCACCAAAGGTAAACGCAATGCTCCAAATGGAGCCTTACCAGTAAACGGCAAAAGCAGTGCCAGCACTAGTTGGCAATCGAACCTCGGACGAGGTTTAAGGTCCATTCTCCGTCGACTATTGAGAGAATCCCGGGGCTCTTCCAGTACCTTTCCGCTGCCTTCACGAACGAAACGCACTCAGAGACCCCTCGTCATTTTCGCCGATTCGGGCTACTTTTCTTCGCTGCTCCTCAGTTCTCGTGATTTTGTCGGATGATTGCTAATTTTATCCACGATGCCTTAATCTAATTCGTTAATGCTGAATACGTTAAGTCTTCGCATATGACTCAACCTCTGAAGGATCCATCCAGGTAATCATTCTCCTTAGGTCCTTGCAGGCTTCTCCTTATTTTGTGCCTTGGAGAAAATCCGTACTGAAACTCGAAGAAAGCGTCGATACGCAATGCTTCCAGGGTTCTTTTATCCATCATAAAAAAGGACAAAAAGCCGTTGAATTCCCATGAGGGAGTTCAAGAAATTCTAGGACCCAAAGTCCCTGACTTTGTGTCCTGTCTAACAATAGGGCCAATGAAGTAATGTGAAAACCAATTTTCAATCGCCTTCCCTTTCTTCAACCCCCCCACCTCTCTACGGGACTCACTAAGTTAGGCTTAGGCCTACAGACTGCCTTCAGGTCACGCCAAGGCCTACCTTTATCTTTTCAATATAAACGCAATTCTCGATTTACGACACCAATTAGGCCTATAAGGGTGAATCGTGGCCTTCGGGACATCTGGTTAAGGACGTGTAACGTTAGGCCAATCGCAGGCCTATTCATACGTTCGTGAACTATTTCAGAGTGGACCAATAACGTTAGACCAATTGGAGGCCTGATTCACGTTTCATGAACCATTTCAGTGGGACATGGAACGTTAGGCCTATCTGGAGTTCCGCGAGCCATCTCCTATAGGTCTGAGGAGAGAATGCCTTTAAGAAGCATGCAATCCATGGCACGCGCCATCCTGTTAATTCAGGGATGTCCGGATAACATATCTGTATATCCCACCACATCGATCAATAACAGCTAGCCACCGCTTCATGCTCAATTCATCTCATGAACTCAGCACAAAAATGTCTCATACATAAAAAAAAAAACAAAATCCAGACGCCAATACGAAGCTTGAAAGAGTTTTGGATCTGGCATAATTTCGGCACGGTATCCGGCAACACTGGGGGACGGTACCGGAGGAACCACTCTAAGCCTAATTGAAAGACAGCTAATTTCATTTTTTTTAAATGGCGAAATGGAACATCGCAAACAGCAAAAAAGCCACTTTTCCTCATCTACGAGTCAATATCTTTCTTATGGCTGGTCTCTTCCCTCCGAAAACCCCCCAGGAGTGGCTACCCAAAGGGGGGGGAGGGGGGGAAGAAAAGGAATGAAATTCACATCCAAACACGAGATTCACTGTTCTCCACAACCCCAGGGAGATAGAGCTTCAAATTTGCTGGAGTGATTCTGCGGTGAGAAAGGAAGAAGTATGCCAAATTTCGTTCCTGGTTCCTTCCAGAGAGGAATTTTTCTCAGAGAGGAATACGAGGAGGTTGAATTTTGCGGCGGAAAGGGGTTGAAGAAAGGTAACAGGCGCTACCGCGCCTATTGATTTCTAACCATACGAAGAGGCAGGAATTTTGCGCATCTGCCTTACTAATGAGCGTAAGTGTCTGTGTGTGTGTGTGTGTGTGTGTGTGTGTGTGTGTGTGTGTGTGTGAGTGTCTGAGGTCTCTTCTCCTCCTAGACAGTTTGATCCCTGACCCTGAAACTTTAAACTTTGGCTTCCTAGAGGTAGGGCATCAAGAAGACGGAGTTTGATGGCCCTGCTACCGATGGGTCGCTGGGCCGCCTTGGGTCACCAGGGTCATTTTTCGTCAAGAAAAATAACCTCATTCATTGTGTGTGAGAGTTATTAAATCCCCGGGGTTTGCCGGTCAAGTTCATTTTTCTGTGATCTTTCCCCTTTGAGATATTAGAGGTCAAAGGTCAACATTTCAGAGTTATTTTCCCGGCACTCTGAAACTGAACCACCAACACGTTTGACCATTTTAAGGTTATGTGATTAGCTTGAGGCAGGCGGTACAGTGCAAGATGTGCACAAGGGACGTCAAGGTACTCTGTACTGTACTGGTACATCTGAACTGGTCTCACGAGCACACTGTCTTACAGACTTTCTAGGTGATCGCGTGAAAACCTGCAACACATTCTCAGCACTGTCTCCATCAGTTGATATGCGAGGTCTTCCAGAACATCCCTTATGCTGGTTAAATGTGTTGGTGGTTCAATATCAAATTCATGTCTCCAACGTCTTTGAACCTCTTTCATGTTCTCCGTTTTCCCATAACACTTCAAAATCCATTTACGTAGCTCAAATGTCAAGCGAAGTTCTGCCTTTTTAATCTGTACTGATTCCCCATAGAGCATTGCGTGCGATCATGTGATATTACATTAACACCTTCTAGTGGTATTATTGCAAATGACATCACCTTTCTATTTGCATTTTTATCTGTTCGATCAATTTTCAAAGTGTATATACATTTTTTAGGGACACCCTGTATAATGAAAATTCTACTCTTGAAAAATTTTCAGTGGCGCAGATATCAAATTGCCCCAACATTGATATTAAAGAAATCTGAAGTCATGAAAGTAATGCAGAGAAACGTGCAGGGAATTAGGAACAAATAATGGAAGTTAAATCTTCCATTATTTGTTCCTTAATGAGGCATCTACAAACAGCATATGCTTATCATCTAATTTTTATCATTGTAATAATAATAAACATTATTATTGCTGATGGAACAGATGTGAGAATGAGGCACTTTTCGGATTCAAGCCGTGCCTCGTAGCTTTTACGCCAAACACAAGCGAAATCATTGAACTCATGGGAGAAGTGGGGTCGAAACTGGACGTTACAGCAAAAGGTGAGACTATTTTTTAAATTTAATTCTGAAGACTAACTTTAAAGACACTTTTGCCCGAGATGAAAGGAAAATGTCTGAATCGAAATATGCAGGTTACCAGTCGGAAGCAGACATGATATCGGAGTTGATGGGAACCACTAGTTCAAAAAAATCTTCCTCGAACAAGTCCCCGAGAAAGCCTTCCTCGCCTCGAGACGCCACTGCTAGGTCTTTCGGGGATGGGGTGTGCGATCCGTTGGGCAACAATACCGATATTTTCCAGGACCTTTTAGAAAATTTTGTCACGAACCGAACCATCCAGGGATCCTTCCGAGCAGGCGTCGTCTTCAACGTCACCTCCTTCTCCAACCAGACCCATATCCAGGCAATTTCCTTTCCCGTCTCCCCTCGCGTCTGCCTCCCCGCGCATCCACCGACAATCTCCCTTCTCTTTGCATCAGATGTCGCTGAGATTCCGAGCCGTCCCGTACCAGAGGAGCAATCCTTTGATGCCGACTCCCACATGGATGACAGACCTCCTTTATCCCAGGTTTCAGACGCCGGGGCCCCGGTCCGAAGGAGATCCTTACGGAGGAGAACCTGGTTCTCATCTCACTATTTTTCGAACATTAACAGTTACTTCTTTTTTTTTTAAGTACTTGTACATTTTGGTACATTCCGATTGAAGACGATTGACTTGTTTTAAAATTGCAGTATGATTGCAATCTTAACCCTTTGCGCTCAGATTTAAATGGCAAAGTCTGCCACAGCAGCTAGACTTTATTTTTCGGTTATTTAAACCGTTCTACATTTGTAACTCGCGAAGTAATTTCTTGCGTTCAAAGTGTAAGTTTACTTAGATGCTCTATAAAAAATTTTGATTGTTGATTGAGGCTCGACACACGAAGCGAAACTCGATTTTTTTTTGTTAGGGGAGGTCTGACAGATAAGCAAAGGGTTAAAGTTCGCAGCATACAAATTTGTGCCAGTATTTTTTTTTGCCACAATATTTGCCGCAGTATCGAGTGCAAGGTGGAATTTCCCTTCCAGGCTACTACGAGGAAGGATTCCTCCTGCTCCAGCACACCATCTTCAAGGAAATCGCGAATTTCTGGAACTCCGCGGGACTGAACAGCACCGAGGAACAGAACAGCTCCTGGCCGTCAGAGGACGACCTGCAAGTCTACCTCCAGCGAATGCCCTACCCCCCGTACGTGGACGACACGTTCCTGGTCGCCCTCGGCGGCTGGCTTCCCCTCGTCCTCATGCTCTCCTTCATCTACCCGGCCGCTAACATCAGCAAGAGCATCACCCACGAGAAGGAGAAACGGCTCAAGGTAACGCGCATGTGCTCCGGAACAAGTTTATTCCGTCAGTATTTTATCTTCAAATGTTTTTTGTTTGTATTTATATCTTTGAGAATTTAGTATAGAAATGCAATTTTCAAATGATAGTTTCACCTTGCAAACATTTCCTCAACTTTCTATCAATTCGGCTGGATCGTGGCTCTTAGTCCTTAAAAATCATTTAAATTATATTTATACAGTATGCATTTATATTCGGTTTCCAGGAATCAATGAAGATGATGGGTCTCCCCAACTGGCAGCACTGGCTGGCCTGGTTCGTGAAATCCTTCCTCTTCCTCCTCATCGCCGTCATCTTGATGACCATCATCCTCGTAGTCAAGTGAGTCACGAGCCAATCCACACCCACTCCTTTTAGGTAATTTTTCGAGTAATGCCGCAGTAGGATTTGTTATCGCAAGGCATTATCAATCCTTTTAACTGCACTCTGTAAAAAAAAGAAAACGCTATTTTAAGTGAATTTTTTTTGTTCTTCAGTAAAACTATTCCAGGACTTGAAGTTCCGCCTTTTAATACGAATTTTTTTGGCGGTGTTAAGGTTTTTTTTTTGCATGCCATGCTTCGCACATTTCCCGATCTCCAGATAGAGAAGTTCGAAATTTTCTTTTGAGAAGGTGGGAATCATACCTGAAACCAAATGCCCCATTTCAGTTTCTCAAGAGCCCTCAAATTTTCCTCAGCGAAGAGTAAAACAGCAATACACACATCTGACTAAACGGGTGGACAATCTTCTGGGTGGAAAAATCAGCAGCATGACAGCGTGGGAAACTGGAAACCTGGTTGCGAACAGCCAGGCACAACGAGCAGTCACTATCTGATTGGAAAGAAAGTTCTCGGAATTTCATGAACATTTATTACAACCCAGTTTATTTAAAAGCAAAATCATCTCAATCATGAATGTAATCACCATTGGCCTCTATCACTTCACGCCAACGTTCATGCAAACTATGGATGCCATTCCAATAGAACTCTGGCGGCTGCGCTACGAAAAAGTTGGCCAAATCGGTTTTCAGGTCGTCTCGGTTGGCGTACTGCTTTCCACCCATGTGACGGTCCAGGGCAACGAAAAGGTGATAATCGGACGGGGCAAGGTCGGGGCTGTAGGGCGGATGCGGCAGCACCTCCCAGCACAGGTCCAGTAACTTTAGATGAGTCTGTCTAGCGGTGTGCGGCCGGGCATCGTCGTGGAGGAGGATGGTTCTCTGTCTTTCTGGGCGTGTTTCAGCCAGTTTCTGCTGCAGCCGATCGAGTTGCTGGCAGTAGTAGGCAGCAGTGATGGTGGTGTTTTGCNTGTCAAGTTATTACCTAACGACTTGCAGTCAACAGATACGCAGCACGAACCGATGCGAAGTTGCGACAGGAAATGACCCGTCCGATTACGTTGCGAAGCGTACTGCGACCGACTCACAAGTCTCCGATGCGACCGATTGCAACGAACTGCGACGGTCGCAGTGGTCGCAACGCAGCTCTTCGCAGCGTGCATGGGCCATGCAGTCTAAGTAGCTGGTTGGATGCTCGCACGCTTCGCAAATACCTCCTCGTCACCCCTCATCTCTGATGGGATACACGCCCCATCCCCCTCGGAAGTCTGAGCGAGGGAACATCTTTCACTAAGTGGAAAGTTTCAGTTTGAGGGGCCTCTAATTTCTCCCGGATCTGCACCGACTTAACCTTGGACATTCATACAGAAAGCATGCAGAAACGGAAGGAGGAGTATCGTGCTCAAGGGGAAACGGCGGAGCTCCATGGCGGACACGTGTGGGGTGTGGTCCCCCCTTCCTCCTTTCCAATCAGATAATTTCCCATCACCGCACGTAATTTGAAATCCCATGAGAGTTCTCCCGTGATGAATCATCATCGGGTCATGTGATCGAGCCGACATCCCCGTGACCGAGTCGACATCCCCGTGACCAGACAGAAAAACAGGACCCTCGAACCCTTATCGCTCTTATCGTACAAGTGTGGCGCACGGAGCGTCCACGGGTGCCCCTTGCATCGCATCACGTGCCTCGTGGGACTCTTCTGCCCCGCTTCTCGATAGCTGATAGTTTTTTGGATGGATGCAGGCGTTTTTGCGCCGATCGATTCGAGTTTCAATTGTATTCTTTGCCGCGACGTGGTTCAAGGTCGAAGGATGTCGTTAGAGTCATGATTTGCGTGTGTGGGATTTCACTGGTTAGGAAGCTTGGGAAACTCCCGTGTGGGAGCTTCGCGATTATTCCTTGATGCGAAGAAAAAACTCCCCGTTCCCTGTGTATTTTGAGCCGATATTGCGCCATCGCTTCCCTCGATGACTTGTTATCGCCTGTCAGGTTAGCTGCCAATCGCACAGAAGGCCGTTTCCATCGAGCTTTCCCATAGCACGCAATGAGCCGTCATCGAGGAGTGAGATAACTACCGATCGAGAAAAAAAAGAAAGGACTCGAGCCGGCCCAGCGAGCGGGAAGCATTTCAGGACTTAAACACCGTGAAGGTGGCTCGGATTATGACGCCACTCTCGGAAGGGGATGCTGAAGGGGGAAATCACCCGCTGAATGGAAGGAGGAAGGGGGGACCACACCCCACACGTGTCCGCCATGGAGCTCCGCCGTTTCCCCTTGAGCACGATACTCCTCCTTCCGTTTCTGCATGCTTTCTGTATGAATGTCCAAGGTTAAGTCGGTGCAGATCCGGGAGAAATTAGAGGCCCCTCAAACTGAAACTTTCCACTTAGTGAAAGATGTTCCCTCGCTCAGACTTCCGAGGGGGATGGGGCGTGTATCCCATCAGAGATGAGGGGTGACGAGGAGGTATTTGCGAAGCGTGCGAGCATCCAACCAGCTACTTAGACTGCATGGCCCATGCACGCTGCGAAGAGCTGCGTTGCGACCACTGCGACCGTCGCAGTTCGTTGCAATCGGTCGCATCGGAGACTTGTGAGTCGGTCGCAGTACGCTTCGCAACGTAATCGGACGGGTCATTTCCTGTCGCAACTTCGCATCGGTTCGTGCTGCGTATCTGTTGACTGCAAGTCGTTAGGTAATAACTTGACAGCTCTTTGGATGGAATGACTTCGGCGGTAGATGATGGCAATCATCGCCAATGAATCTCCACGAGCGAGATACATAAATATGCGAAATGAATCGCCAAGAAAGGTCTCGATGTCGTTAATATTCCTGATTATTATGCATTTTTTAAATATGAATTTTAATTTTTAATTTGAATTGATAAGCACTTGTTCTTCGAGTGCAAAAGTCTGAGTCGTAATATCTCAATTACGTGTAAATCAAGCAACACCCTCTTTTAAGAGGGTACTGCATGATTTACACATAATTGAAATGTACAGAATATTTTTTTATGGAGTGTGCATTTACCCATGGAAATGCATGATCTGAAGTTTGGGTCCTGCTCGAGTCGCGAATTCTCTGATGACGGGGTCTCTGTACAGGAAGTACCTACCACTGTCGAGAGCTTTTTCCCCCGGGAGGCCGCAAAATAATCAAAAGTGTTGCAACATGAGCTCTCAAATTGCCCACAGTCATGTTGGATTTCGATTGCTCGAAAAACATACATCTATCACTTAGGAAAAAATCAGCACTCAATGAGTCATACTTTCCAAGAATTTTATAAGCACGTCGGCGGATCCATCCCGACAGGTCCCCTTGAAACAATACTTCCGCTTTCGCTTATACGAACTCGCGGAAGAAGTTTGATCGGAGTTGTCTAAAGCTTGGAAACGCCATTCTGGCACGACGTCCCACATCCTTAGACACCGAGCGAATACCTTCCTTTATTTCAGACATTCATGCCTTTCTTTTAATGCTGTTGAAGGGCTTACAAGGCGCCGAATGGGACGAAGCTGGCCGTTCTCGACAAATCCGATCCATTCCTCGTCTTTTGTTTCCTCGTCACCTATGCCCTTGCCACAATTGCCTTCGCCTTCCTCGTATCCACAATTTTCTCTAAAGGTATAGTGGAAGTTCGAATATGATTATTTTCAAATGTATTTGAACTCATGGATGCTTCTGGTTGCCGAAAAAAAAATCTTCCCCTATATGGAATTATGAAAAGCTTGGAAAAGCTTTTCCTATTATATTTTCCTATTCCCCCGCCCTATCGTCTTTTTCATTTTTCATCTGAGGTAAACCCTTACGAAAAGATCCTAAAGGATCCTATAAGATTTTTGAAACATAAAAATCTATAGAATTCCTATAGGATTCTTATAGGATTCTTATATGATTCCTATAGGATCCTATAAGGCTCCTATAAGATTTTTATGTTTAAAAAATCTCATCGGATCCTATAGGATCTTTTCGTAAGGGAAAACTTGAGTATCTATTTCACTAGCCCCAATAAATTTTAATGTAGAAGCAATTTAAAAAAAAAATTGGGCCAGGTTGGCATTCTATCTAAAAAAAAAAATAGAATGCCAACCTGGTCCTAGGGGGGCTGGTCCCCCCCCCCCGCACTAATTGGAAGCTGGAGTCTATCTTTAGACTATGTCGAAATCGGAACATCGATGAAAATAATGAATATAGGACTCGACAATATAAAAAATGTGCGGACTTTTCTCCTGCGACAGCGAATTCGGCGTCGACATGGAGCGGTCTCCTGTGGTTCCTCACCTACATCCCGTTCACCTTCCTCGACCCCCGATACGAGCAGCTGAGTCTCAACTTGAAATTAAGTACGTCCATCTTCGTCAACATGGCCATGGCCTTCGCTGGGAAAATCATCGGACTCTTCGAAGGAGCTGGTGTGTTTCCTTTCTTTCGAGTCCTATCGGATTCACCTTGACTGGGTATGAGTGGTTTGGCGGTTATCTGGAGAGGTCCAAGGTCCCCATCAAAGTTCTGTTTATCCGTTTATCAGGAATTCTCCACATTAGTGTGGTTCAAAAGTAAGGCTGTATAGAGCACAACTATGACTTCAGGAAAGCATGGCGCGGATAATGCGGGGCAAAATCTCGTGGCTTAGGATATCGTTCATTTCGTTATGAGCGCTACTACAACAGTTGTTCTATATTCGCAACCACATTCCACAAGGGCCTTCATTTTGGACGTAACACAACAGCTGCCGGGAGTATAATTCGTGGTGTTGACTTTGTACTACCTCACAGATTTTATCCTTGAACTGGAGTGATGAGTGGAATTTGTCCTTGTAGACGCAAGGCTTTAGGCACTCCTCACTATCAGTCCGGAGGTCAAATCAGATCTGGGGTTGTCACATTTAGGGACCTGGCTGGCCGAGCATTATGAAAGTGTATGCCCGGAAGTCTTCATTCTTCAAGGTTGCACAGTTTGGAATTAGCTGCTTCCTCAGATTTCTGAGCTGACACTTCCCTCATTCGCGACACACGGCAAAGGGGACTTTCGGATCACCCTGTCTAAGTCTGGTATGCAAACAGCGGAGGTGTTATCAAAGGGGGAGTGGATGACAAAGGCCTGAATTCCCCTTCTCTACTCCATCAGTGATTTTTTTGTACCCTTTGCCTTCCCGTACCCCTTAAGGTCGAGCGCAGTATATCGCAGACGTTAGGCAATTTCACCGTTATCCCAATCAAGTATATATCGAGTATCCTTCTCGCCTAATTTTGTCGCAAGTCATACTTATTGTTGGTTTGAGTACGAATAAGATGACTCCAAGAAATTCTAAGAGTTTAAGAGAGTACTTCACAGTATCGTACGTCTTCAAATCTAGTTGCTTTTGTATCAAATCGAAGAACTAACGCGATCTATACGCCCTGCATATGCTGTCAAAGAAACCGTTCGCATCTCTTCGTAGGTCGTCGATTGATGAGGGCCGTGAGTCCACTCTGATTAATCTGGTGGCGTGCGGTAGGTATTGCATAACAAACTTTGATCGTGATCGGCAAAATTTTCTGACAAAAGGAAAAAGAAAACATCCATTTCCCGAGCCAGAAACATACAGGAATTGGGGATTCACCGAGTTTTCTCTTATTACATTGAGAAAATGCAATTCCCCGGAGGGAGGGAGAAATCTCACAGGATTTTCTTGTCCACTTGGAGTTTCTTGATCAAAGGAAAATAGTAAACAGAGACTCCCCCTGCACTTTGCGGTGGAACTTGAACGAATCTCATTAAAGGTACTGGTCGTACTGGTGGTCACGTGGATTCAGGCTTATAAATTGTCAAGGAATTCCTCCATAGGGAAAGGGGTACGCTGGGAGACTCTATGGGAACCAGTGTCGCCAGACGACGACTTGTCGTTCGGTCACATCATGCTCATGTTCCTCGTGGACATCGTCCTCTATCTCCTGATCGCTTGGTACCTAGACGCCGTCTTCCCAGGTTCTTATGGGGTACCGCAGAAATGGTACTTCCCCTTCCAGGTTCGTGCTCCATCTCTCATGAATGTGCATTGTGTTTGTTCTAAATTTTATTCCAGATCGAGCTGAGCTTCATCCTCACTATTTGAGGATTGAAGAGAAAAATTATGGAGGACTATAATACTTAAATATATGCAGAAAATTCCCCTTCCTCCGTCCTAGTTTCAAAACTTTAACCCAATTAATAATTTTTCTTTGTAACTAAGTCAATAAGTTATGAATTTCCTTTACACCGCAGAAGAGTTACTGGCTGGGAATCAAAGAGAAACCCATTGAAGAAGCGACAAGTGCTCTACGGGCGAGGCCTGACCTCTTCGAAGAAGATCCGAGACATCTCAAACCTGGCATCCGCATCATAAATCTCTCTAAGGTTAGCACATCGATCTCCAGAAAGGAAAAAACCGTATTAAGTAATGTCCTGCATCGACAATGAATAACGGCGGCGTAAACTTCAGTTGGTGGTGTCGTCAGAAATGCACACAGAAAATGCTGCCTGCCCAACGCTATCCGGAACGCGCTGATAAAGGAACGAAAGCCTGCCTAATCTGATAAGTGTGAGCGAATGCAATAATTCAATCCACACCTTTGGACATTCGGTCTCTAGTTTGACGGAGATTATCTCGTTTACGAGGAATCCCGGCAACGCACAGGATTGCGTTGCTGACAATTTTTTGCCTCGATTCGTGATCATAATCGTCTGGACTTGTCGCTTATTTGACACTGATTTCTTTCGATGTACCATTTAGTTTCGTTTTTCATCTTACAAGACCGCTGTCGATAATTTCTATCTTGTTTTCTCGCAGATCTACAAGGGGGAGAAGTTGGCGGTGAACGGCATGAACCTGAACATGTACGAAGGCCAGATCACGGTCTTGCTGGGTCACAACGGAGCCGGAAAAACAACCACCATGTCCATGCTCACCGGTAAGTAGAGCGAGAAGTAGAGAAATGGAGAGAGAGGGAGAGAGAGAGAGA